CATATAAATATGTTATAAAAATAAAATACGGAGACCTCACTAATACATCCTTTCACCCGAAGCTTAGAACTGAGCTCCAGCCGAAAGGATCTCAGTGCAGGAGCTGAGAGGACCAGCTCTGCGGTCTGCATCCGACAGAGATGCAGACCTTATAGCTGCTCCCGCAAGTCAGGTACACGGTGACCGCGTACCTGACTTGTCAGCTGGCTGCTGGCCACACAGTACCGGCTCGGCCCGTGGGCTGGTACTTTGAGACCACTGCTGTAGATTATGGAGAAGAAAACATATATCCAGATATCACTTCCTCTGTATCAGACAAGTATGCACATAGACCAATAGCATACAGACTAGCTTTGCACCACAGCGCCATCTAGTGCTCAAAAGACAATACAACATCTCTGAATGTCAGCAATACACATCAGTATGCTGTTGCATCTCCAACAGTTTTATGCAATGTGCTTTCAAGCACGGGGGGCTGGAAGGGGGAGTGTAAACAGGGAGGACTCCTGCAGAGTGACAGTGCTTATGTACAGTCACCAGACTGTTGATATAGAAAGCTCCTATAGTGGAGTTGTCTTTTTGGCTATACAAATACATAGACAACAGGAAAGACCAATTGGTCCTTTCAAGTCAAAAATACAATGTTGTAGTACGTATATGTGAACTGTTTTGGGCCCCTTTTAGATGGGCATTCCAATCAGGTCCGCCTGTCAGTTTATCAGGTGGATCTGATTGGAAGCCCATTGTTACACTGGCCATAAACCTATAGATTTTCTATTGATAGATGGAAAAAGTGCAACAGATTCCTCCATCTACGCTAAACTGTGTGGATGGAGGAATCTCCCACTGGGCCAAGCTTCAGTATCTTGCTAGTCGGCCCCGCTGGCTCTCAAATTACATGAACAATGCCTGCATCCAATCAGACTGTTCAGGTGTTTTGAGTGACAGCGGGGCCGACTAGCAAGATACTGAAGCTTGGCCCAGTGGGAGATTCCTCCTTCCACACAGTTTAGCGTAGATGGAGGAATCTGTTGCACTTTTGATCATAGAAAATCTGCAGATAATCTATAGGTTTATGGCCAGCTTTAGTCTATTGGCAGTCGGATCTAAATGGACATGTGTCCATTTACACCCAAATACCCCATACTCAGTCCAGTTCCAGAAGACCAAATGGAACAGAGTTCCATTTTGGCAGACCTGTGGAGATCTGATGTACACAGACACATCATTTACATCTGACTCCCCATAGACCAACATGGGTCCAGTAAGTTCAGTTTTTTCCTCCCATTGCAAGATGGCGGAATAAACTGGACGGACACGGATGTAACAATGGTGACATATGTTCCGAACTGCTCCGATCAGCAGGGGATCCATGCTGATCGGAAACTGACAGGGGACCATGTGAAAGGGGGCCTTTTAAAATTCACAAATAGGCTGGAGACCTGATTTTCTCTGTTGCAGTTGTAACCCAGGTCTTGTCCCTGCCCCAGCTTGTGACTGTACAGAAGGGGTCACAAATTCAATTCACTCGGGGGGCCACTGGGGAAAAAAAAAATTCTCCTGTGGGGGCCGCTTGCCAAATTTCATACTCCCCACACACATAGAAATACACACACAGAAATATGCACAACCACCATTACAAATACTAATATAGACACAATAAGGCCCCATTCACACCTGTAGGTTTGGGTGCAATTAGGGATTAGTAGGAATGCCTAATCTGCCGTGTATAACCGGCATTTGTCACCCGTTCAAGTTAATGATCAGGTGACAGCCGCTGCATGTAAATGCCTGCACACCGCATGTAATGGTATGTGATATGATTACATGCGTTTAGGACTCAATCATTATTCCTGGATCGATGTGTCCAGGGAGAGTGATTGATTCCTAACTGCATGTAATCATATCACATACCATTACATGCGGTGTGCAGGCGTTTACGGGCACCGGCTGTCACCTGATTATTAACTTGAACAGGTGACAGTTGGCACGTCTGAAAACCAGACTAGGGATTCCTGCTACAGGAAAATGCAAATTCTTGACACAAATCCCTAATCGCACCTAAAATAAAAGATGCGAATAAGGCCCTAATACACAGATATACACTGAGTGGCCAGATTATTATGACCACCTGACGTTTGTAGGCAAATTAGCTATAATTTCGCGCTGAAGTTGCTAGAGGGCCATACCATTATAAATAGGGAAGCAGGTTGTTTACCACGACAGGAGAATTGATTTTTATTCCATCCTTTCAACCGGTGTTCAGTGAAGATTGTCAGAACACTGATCTGAGTACTGGTACTGACAGGAGCTGCTATGCGATCTGACAGAGATGCAGACTGTGTAGCTGCTCCCGCAAGTCAGGTGCGTGGCCCATGACCACGTGCCTGACTTGTCACCTGACTGCAGGCCACATAGTACTGGTTTGCGGGCCGCAATTGGCCCACAGGCCGGTACTTTCAGACCCCTGCTGTACAGTGAAACAATAAAGAGCAGACTGATGAGCTCATCTCTTTGCCGCTCTGCTCTCTCCTCCCATCTTAGTGTTCAATGTCGGCACTGCAGCACAACTGATGGGCTTCTTGTGCTGCTTCTCCCTCTTCTACTTTGTACAGGGACTGCAAAAGTCTGATACCAAGTAAATCCAGGTACTACCATTGTTTGTATTTAAAACATGCATTTAATAAAGTATTAATATACTGTATATAAAGCTGCATTCATTTTGTATGTTTTATTTGCCAGTATGAGAGCCCCTGTGTGTGTTTTTTAAAGTAGGCACCGCTCCAAGCTCGCTCTTGTGATGGACTACAATCTCATTACAAATGAGTAAACTAAACATGAGATTGTAGTCCATCATGGGAGCGAGCTTGGAGCAGGGGGCGACTTTACAACACACACAGGGACCATGGGGAACAAAAGTACCCACCCTCCAGAAGGAAGGACAGTGTCAGGACCAATTCAGAGATGATTTGAGGATCTACAGCCGACTGATACACAAATAAGATACAATTTTTGTTAATAGTTAAGGTGCTTACATGTATTTTTAAGGTTCAACTCCTTAGTTTAGTGCAGGGGTGTAACTAGAAATCTAGAAAAGAATGATAACCGCATACATTTTATAACTAGCCTTGGTAGCAGGGCGCACATGAGAAGGCTTACAACAATACAAAACACAAAAAGAATCCCCACCACACCTGCCAGCTAGCCTGCAACAAAACAAGTTACCCTGTCAACAGGATGCGTTGAAAACAGAGGTTTTAGTTGGGCAAACCTTTGGCCAAAAATATGTAGAAGCCACACCGCCCAAGGCTCCTCTAATTTATCGACTGCATCATGGAGACTCCTAAATAGAGTTAGGACCACACTTCACAGAGGAGCCTTGAAGGTGGCGGTGTGGCTTCTACATATTTTTGGCCAGAGGTTTGTGCAACTAAAACCTCTGTTTTTAACGCATACTGTTGACTGGGTAACTTGTGTTGTTGCGGGCGTACGTAGAAATCACAGGGCCCCATAGCAAAATTTTGTATGCCACTGAACAACACATTGCTACAGTTATGTGGTACAGAGCCTGAGCTACAGTGTATATTATTATAGATGATATGATTACATGCAGTTAGAAAACAATCACTATCCTAGAACGCATTGATCGTACCATTACATGCAGTGTGCAGGTGTTTACATGCAGCGGCTGTCACCTGATCACCTGATCAATAACTTGAATGGGTGACAGCAGGTGCATGTAAATGCCAGATTAGGGATTCCTGCTGCAGGAAAATGCAAGTTTCAGACACAGGAATTCCTAATCACACCTAAAAATACAGATGTTAAAGGGGCCTTATGCATCCCCCCCCAAACACACACACGCGCAGAACAATAAAAACATCCTCCCCCCTCTGCCCCCACAGATAAAATATAAAAACCCCATCACCTGCACATT